GTGTGTGTGCGTGTGTGTGTGTAAATTTTTTTTTTTTGAGTGAGAATTGTGTATATCACAATGCAAGCAACTAAAAATGTATACTCTTAAAACCTTAATGGTTCGAAACATAGGCTTTATATATATATATAAACAAATATTTATGAAAATCTATAAATAAATATCTATGTTTCAGACTGTTAAGATTTTAGAATTATTTTGTTTAGAACCATTACGATTTAAGATTTTAAAAATTTGTATTGTATTTTTTTTTTAGAACCATTGAGATTTTTTTGCATTGTGATGCACACAAATTTTATACATAATAATAATAAATATCTCTGTTTCAGACCGTAAAGATTTTAGATTTTTTATGATTAGAACCATTTCGATTTAATATTTTTATGCATGTATTTATTGATTTTTTTGCATTGTGATATACACATTTTTTAAACATTTTTTAGAGAAACATAAATAATTAAATATATCTATAAATAAATATCTATGTTTTGGTGGTAAAATGTAGATTTCTTTTATGTTTAGAACCATAATGATTGTTTTTTTTTCATTTATTTATTTTTTGCATCGTGATATAGATTTGTTTTTAATACCTAATATAATAAAAATAAATAAACCATAATAAAAAACCCAAGGCGTGTGTTTGCAAGCTGTTAAACGAGTTGAACTCTGACCTCTGAACTCAAACTCAGTGCCGCCCATGACGCGTGTGGAGCGCAGGCCGCGGCTGTAGCGTCCGCGGGCGAACAGGCTGAAGGTGGGGTGTCTGCAGGCCGGGTCAGAGTAGTGATAGTAGTGACCCTCCCAGGTGTGGTTGCTGTCGTGGAAGATGAAGTGTCGCGTGAGGAACAGGACCTCGGGCCGGACCTCGCAGCGGCGGGAAGCCCACTGGCCCCTCAGGGTCACCGTCAGCTCGGGCCGCGGCGGGAGAACCGGCGGATGAAGCTCGTCAGAGCGAGAGATGATTCGACAGACCACGCAGCTGAGATCCTGATTCTGAGGACAGACAGTAACACTCGTGATAATGAGCTTCAGTAAGCACAAGCGCATCGCATGAGAATCAGCTTCAGTGACACTCCTGTCTGTCATCTGTGACATTCATTCACACGCATGGTTGCATAAACTGTTTAGACTAGACTTAAAAAGTTCATCTAATTAATTTTTTTCTTCAAGACTGGTCATCACTTTTTTAATTAATTTATGAAAAGGTATTTATTTGTATTGGCTGATTACTCCTTGGCAACTGTTAGTCAAACTGGTTCTTAACAGTCGACTGCATCTAATGCATGCTTGTATTTGAATCTAATGGTCCATTTGTTTATTTTTCAATCTAATAGCATATATTGGGATTTTTTTGTTGTTTTATGTTTGGAAGATATTGAATTGAAATGCAATGAAATATACAAATAACATGTTTTATGGTACTGTATTATATTTACTGTTTATGGACTTCATCTCCAAAAAAGGTAAAAGAAAAAGGTAAAAAAAACAAAATATATATATTTATAATATTTATATATATATTTATTTAAATATATGCATGTGTTTTAGCAGCATCTATTTTGAGGTGAAAGCAGACGAATCAGAGACAGGTCAAAGTCAAGTATATGATACATTTAAATGATACATTCAAACCAGAAATGATACATTCAAACCAGAAATGATACATTCAAAGTGTAACTTTTATATTCAAACTGATAATGATACGTTCAAACTGTAAGAACTCTAAATGATACATTTAAACTGTAAAAATGTTAAATGATACATTCAAAGTGTAAATTATTTATTTAAACCATAAATGATACATTCAAGTTGTAAATCATATATTCAAACTGTAAAAACAATAATACAAAAACTATAAATGACATATTCAGTGTTAAATATATTAGCTGCAAAACATGTTTAAAATATAGTAACTGTAAAAGATCTAAACTATAAAAATAGACAAAACTGTAAATTATATATTCAAAAAATCTACATCATATATTCAGTATAAATTAAATATTCAAATTGTCAAACAATAAATGATACATTCAAACTTCAAAAACTTTAAATTATATATTCAAACTGTAAAATTTTTTATATATTTATCTATTTTTATTTCAATTGATTGTATTTATTTAAATTTTAAGAAAAACGTAAACGATACATTCTCAACTGAGTTTGCTCACATATTTTTGTACAGTATACTTTATATTCATAATTAAAAGCACATCAATACTGTAAAAAGTGAAATGTTACTATGACGTACATGACGCCTTTTTGGCTATATTTACATTTTTACGAGCGAAGCTGGTTTGTGTCACAAAAGCAAGCAGTTAAACAAAGCAGCGTGTCCTCTCGTAAAAGAGCTGTTGCTTCTCTGTTTAAAGCTTCTTTTACAAAAGCATTACATTTGAATGATGTCCACTAATTCTGTTTGTTGACATTAACATACTAGTAATTGGTACTCAATTTCACACACTTTTACCATCTGATTTCATGACCAAGAGTTTTATTCCATGCAGCTTAAAAAACTAAAAAGCCAGAAAATGCAAAGGAAAGGCTCATGTGTGAATTCTGTGAATATCGCATAGATGCGTGAGTTTACTGAATCTCACACAAAAACTGATCAATCGCCTGGAATAATGATGATTTTTTAATGTTTTTGATAGTCTCATCTGCTCACCAAAGCAGCATTTATGTGATCAAACATACAGTTCAAAAGAACAGCATTTATTTGAAATCAAATTTTTTTTGTCATTTTATAGATGTCTTTACTGTCACTTTTGATCAATTTAATGCATCGTTGATGAATAAAAGTATTAATTTCTTACCTCAAACTCTTGAATGGTAATGTATGACAGTTATTGTCATACAAAAATATTGTGCAGCACAACTGTGTTCAACATTGATAATAATCAGAAATGTTTCTTGAGCAGCAAATCAGCATATTAGAATGATTTCTGAAGATCGTGTGACACTGAAGACTGCAGTAATGATGCTGAAAATACAGCTGCGCATCACAGAAATAAATTACAGTTTAACAGATATTCACATAGAAAACAGCTGTTATAGATTCTAATATTTTTAAACAATTTTTACTGTATTTTTTTTAATTTTTTTATTTTTTTGAAATAATAACATTACAAATGTTGGATGACAGCATAAATACCAAGAAAAAGAAAAAAGAACAAAACACACAAAGGACACAAGTACAGTAAGTAATTAATACTTCAGGGTAACTTAAAAGAAACATACAAATAAACCCCGGCAGCAAATTACCACACAGAATAATGCATTACCAATTTAAAACAATTCTTTTAAAGCTTGGGCTATACTACTCCAATAAGTGACAGTTTGTATTCTAGCCCCATTACATTTTTACTGTGTTTTTGATTAAATAAACGCAGCCCTGGTGAGCAGAAGAGACTTCTTTCAAAAACATTAAAAATCCGGTCTGAACGTAATCATCTGGATGTGTTTAGCAGCCGTAAATCATTAGAAGAGTTTAGTTCAAGGCGATTAGCAGCATGTAAACTAGATCTCCAGAAGCAGAACTTTATGTTTACAGTAGTTCTGTCTGTGAAGCACTAGTTTACACACATTTCTGTGTAATGACTTTTCCACACTGCTCTATAATCAATATTAATATCATCCACTGTTTCAGATAGAGCTGCTTCTAAACGACAGAAGAACAAAACCATCTGTTATTTTGTGCATCATTCAGACGCTCTCTTCATCTTTCTAGACTTGTTTTGCTCTGTTCTTCGGCTCTGACTCTTACTGAGAGAAAACCCGAGACTGATCCTGATATGTGACCCTGGAGCTTAAAACCAGTCATAAGTGTGTATAAATAATATTTCCATTGATGTATGGTTTGTTAGGATAGGACAATATTTGAAAATCTGGAATCTGAGGGTGCAAAAAAATCTAAATATTGAGAAAATCATCTTTAAAGTTGTTCAAATGAAGTTCTTAGCAATGCATATTACTAATCAAAAATTAAGTTTTGATATATTTACGGTAGGAGATTTACAAAATATCTTCATGGAACATGATCTTTACTTAATATCCTAATGATTTTTGGCATAAAAGAGAAATGTATAATTTTGACCCATACAATGTATTGTTGGCTATTGCTACAAATATACCCCAGCGACTTAACACTGCTTTTGTGCTGCAGGGACACATATTTACTCAAAGCCGAGTGCTGTGTGCTGTGACAGTATTTCATCCAGAATGAGCTTTGCTTGGTGTCAGATGAGAGCGAGGCCGGCCGTCTTCTCTTTTATCTTTATTATTGTTATTGCGAGTCTCGCTGTAAAGCTTTGCCAAATGAAGGAGCATTCGAGCAGAAAGCTAAACATTTCACCTCACATCCCGAGGAGAGGAGAGAAAGCCTCGGTCCGTCTGAGACGTAAACACAGACACGCAGCACTTAAAGCACAGCTCATTCACAACAGCTCATACATCTCAGCACTCGAGAAAACAAACCCACTCAGATCTCCATGAGCTCCAGCAGAGAGAACACGTATTAGCTTTAGTGTACACGACTCGACTAGATCCACTAGTGGAAGGAGGACATCAACACATCTGATGTTTTTGTGAATTGATTTTAAAAAAGACTTACATTTTGATGTAAAAACAAAAAAACAAACAAACAAAAAAAAACACAGGACTGTGCTATATACTTTATTTTCTTTTAAGGATGTTTACAAATTCACTTGTTAAGAGGCAGGGTTATTGTCAACTAAAACTAAAACCATAAAAAAAATGTTTCTGTTGTACATAAACATTAACTGAAATAAAATATAAAAGAACTTATTAAACTTAATAAACTATTTTTTTTTTTTTTTAGCTAGCTGCCTAGGCAATATTTCTCATTTTTTTAGTTTAAGTACTAAAATAGCTCAAATGAATAAAAATAAAACTAATAAATAAAAATTCATGAATAAATAAACATATATACTATTTGAAAAAAAAATATTTATATTTTATAAAATAATAAATACAAATAATATTAAATATTTTATGCACTATTAAATACTACTACTACTACTAATATAATAAATAATACATATTAAATGTTTAATATAATACTAAATAATATTGACTTAATATTTTTGTCAAATAATAAACAATAATAATATTAAATATTTTATGCACTATTAAATAAAACTAATATTAAATTTAATCAAAAAATATAAAAATAATAATAATTGATATGATAACAAATACTACTAATATAAAATAATACACAATGATATTAAATAATAAAAATAATAATATAATTACATAACAACAATAAAATAATATAATAATACATTTAAATACATAATAATAATAAGACTACATATTTTATTTAATAATTAATACTAATAGTAAATATTGTTTATACAAGAATAAATAATACTAATATTAAATAATATTTATAAAAAAATGCAAAAACCTTAAAGAAAGGTTCCAAAAGTGGGTTTGTGTAACAATGCCATAGAAGAACCATTTCTGATTCCCCAATAATTTTTTCTTAGTGTTATGAGCATTTTAATAATCTACCTTCTTCTATGGATGTGAAAGGTTCTTCGTGTTATATCAGCTATGCTGCTCTCAAGAGCTCAGAAATCTGCATCTGCCTTTCAAAAACCCATATCACTTAAAAAAGTCTTAATGCTGGCTAATTACATATACTTCAATTCCAGATTTTCAAATAGTTGTATCTCGACCAAATATTGTCCTATCCTAACAAACCATACATCAATGGAAAGCTTATTTATAAATAATGCATAAATCTCAATTTCAAAAAATTGACCCTTGTGACTGGTTTTGGGTCACATACGGTTTCAGACAAGGCTCAGGAAATCAAAGCATGTGATGCTGTCACCTGTGTGTTCTGCAGCGCGGGCTGGTAGCTGGAGGGTCTGTAGAGCATCCTCTGCGCCGCTTCGGTGTGAATGTCTCCCAGGTAAAGCTCCTCCAGCAGCTGATCCAGACTGTGATGCAGATACTGCTTCTCCAGCCGCAGCAGCTGCAGCTCGTGCATGGAGACGTTCAGTGCGCAGACGCAGCCGCAGCCGCTCCACAGCTCATAGCTGATGTTGGGCTGCCAAGAAGCGCAGCCGAGCTCTCGGGCCGCAGACGCTGAGTGACACACCAGACGCATGCTGTGGATCTGATAGTCGGCCTCGGTGCCGCCTCGGACGATCCAGGACGGCTGGCGCAGACGCAGACGGCCCCGCACCTGCACACTGTAGCTCGGCGTGGAGCAGTGGTTGTCTGCGTAGTAGAACTGAAGCGCCTTAAACGTGTTGTTGTGGAAGAAACGGTACGAGCGAGTGAGGAACTCCGGACCGGGACGCACCTCACAGCTGCCAGATAAAACACACGGATTTATTACTGCAGCTGTCCTCAAAACACAAATCAGTCATCATTAACTCATCAGATATCAAGGAAAAATATTAAAAGATTAAATAGGATTTATAAAGCGGAGAGTTCCGGTGCTTGATTCTGATTGGCTGAGCCGCGTTCAAAGCTGTTGTAAATGACTCTACAAAGTAACACAACTTTGTTTACATTTGTCTGTTGCTCGGCAACCACTTTGTTTCAACCACAACTGTTTCTGAGGAACTACATTGTTTGGTGGAAGAATACTGTTTTTATTAATATCATTACACTTTATTTGCTCTGTTTTATTTTGTGAAACCTTACTACGTATATGGAATAACCGTTTTATAAAAGAACTAAGCCCCGTGAAGCAGTGGTTTACAGGGAATTTATAACAGCTAAGGGGGTTTTAGGCATGACGTGATGTTATAAATTCACTGTAAACCACGGCTTCACGGGGATTATTGCTGTATTATAAAACAATAAAAAAGGATCATTTTAAATAATAGTTTATAAAATAAAAAAAATTGCATAACTTATTTTCAGAGATGTACAGTAGTGAAGTATGTTTACATTACTCAAGTATATTTAAAAAGTATCTGTAGTTTATCAGTTTTTCTCTTTGGAAAACTTTTACTTCCAAAGCATAATGTTGTACTTTTTACTGCACTACATTTCATAAATAAAAGTTGTTGTTTTTTTATCTTTAATACTTATGAACATTAAAAATTGTAGTACTTTCTTGTACTCAAGTAAATATTTGAATTACTTTTACTTGAGTAAAAGTAAGAAAGTACTATATTTCTAATGTAATTAAGTATTAAATGATATTTAACATGAAATGTGAAATGTGAAGTAAAAGTTTTCTAAAGTAAAAAAAACACTAACACACACACACACACACACAAACACACACCTGGTGGAGACCCAGTGCCCCTGGATGTTGGGTGGCATCTGGACGGTGACGCGGGCCCTGTTCTGCAGGTGTTTGAGCAGGTGCACACACTGTATGTCTTTGGACGGCCAGACGAGACTCTTCTCTAGAGCCAGACGAGGAGACGAGGCCCTCACACAACCTGACCAGATCAGATCAGACAGCAAACACAGCGTTAACATCTGCTCATTCGGCTCATTACTCTACACAGTGCTGCTGGGAAGGTTACTTTGGAAATGTAACAGTTTAAAGATTACAAGTTACCCTGTCTAAAATGTGACAAGTAGTTTAACTATTTCAATTACTTTATTAAAGTAATGTAACTGATTACATTTGATTACTTTTCTAAATTTCTAATGTTTTCAACTGTTAATCATTTTCAAACATGTAAAGCAGGCCGGGCTAACCTTAAAGTATGTGCTCAACACTGATTACTGTCAGACTTTCAGAATCCTTTATCACTAGAATTAAGATTATAATAATTGAATTTTAAAGCACAGCTGCCACAAAATCAGACTTATACTTTGAGATCATTCTGAGGTTAAATACTGATTTAAATTCATCTCAAGATATAGTTTAATAGCTATGATACAGGATGACTGGAAACACTGGCATCTAACAATGCCTTGGAAAAAACAGCTCATCTTAAAAAATAAAACATATGCATAAACCCATATATAGGAAATAAAACAGTTATCAAATAAGCATGTGTACTAAACTCCTGGTGTCTCATATTTTAGAGCAGTCACTGCAATTTATGAAAGAAATCAATTAAATCTGTATGTGTGTGTGTGTGTGTGTGTGTGTGTGTGTGTGTGTGTGTGAAAATCAGATGTAACCCCATTTGTAATCGTTAACATTTTCATACATAACTGTAATTTAATTACACAGTGCAGAAGAAGACATCTCAACACACTTTTTTTTGTCTAGAGTAATTTGTGCTTATTAGTATAGTTGAACTGGATCATCGAGTACATTGGTTAATAGAATGGGATTAAATACATAAAGGATATTTGTGTTGTTTAACATTTAATTATTGCAGGTTTGCGACATATTCTGAGTTGCATTACTTTTATTCATTTTGAGGAATACTGAATATGTGTTTTGTTTTGTTTTTGTGAGTGAGATGAATTAATGCATATTCATATTTATTTTAGAACTACAGTAACATCTTCTGATTTCTGTCACCATGGCAACACCAGAGCTGTCACTCAATAAATTGGAAAAAAAAAGTAACTTGCATTACTTATTTGAAAAAGTAACTCCGATATTCTCTTGTAAATTAAAAAGTAATGCGTTTTACTAGTTACTTGGAAAAAGTAATCTGATTACATAACTCGCGTTACTTGTAATGCATTACCCCCAGCACTGGTTACATGTAACTAGTTACTTCCCAACACTGACTGTACACACATGTAAATCCCTGTTCCTTCCAAATCCATAATCTATCAATAATATCCCAGCAACCAACCACTCAGAAAATCAGCAACACCTTAACAACAAACTTAATGAAGCTGTGTTTCCCGCCAGCTAAATTTCACACATAGAAACACAAATCTGGCTCTAAACTGTGATTGTATTATGTATTGCTGTATGTGATTGTGTTAGTCTATATAGAGTGATAGTCAATGTACTGTAAAAACAGCAGATGAACACAAAACAGCAGAACATCAAGTTAAAGCTGAACTGTGCTCGTATGTTTTCTAGTCTGTTTACTTTAGCTTCTCAGGTAATATCAATGGTCTGACCTTTCACAAGACACAAGACTTAACTGACCTTCAAACTAATAATTGCCCAACTGTCTTTTCAGTTCATGTTCGCACTGAAACTGAATTTACGAAGGGTTCATACACAAATTATCCAGAAACACACACACATGAATGTCAAAAGATCTGCACGTAAACACCGTATTGATACTTGGTTTTAAAGATTTCTACACAATGTTTAGATCACATGATCACAATTCAATGATAGAAATGATACGCTCTTAAAAATAAAGGTGCTTCACAGTGATGCCATAGAAGAACCTTTTTTGTCTAAATGCTTCCATAAAGAACCTTTAACCTTTCTGTTTCACAAAAGGTGTTTTTTTGTGGTGAAAGAAGGTTCTTCAGATTATAAAAAGCTAAGAAAGAGATGTTCTTTGACTGAATGCTTCAAAAATGTCTCTTCTATGGCATCGCTGTGAAGCACCTTTATTTTTAAGAGTGTAGAATTAAGTGCAGAATGAAGCAGACACTCGTATCAGATGAACATTAGAGGATAGAAAGCGCTTTAATGAATGTGGGAACGAGCCGCTGCTGGACTGAGATCAGCTATTATAATTCATTTTCAGATTTCATATAATGACACTTGGAGCAAATGAAGCTGATGGCTGGATAACAGCAAACACATTTCTGGCCGGCGATCAGGAGCTGCATGAGGCCACCAGATGAAAGCAGAAAAACCTCTGCATTACTGCCACACAAACTCCAGCAAATACATTCACAGAGCAGCAAACTTCATTTGTGAGAAGAACAGAGAGCGAGCCAAAATAACTGCAGAAAAGCATTTCAAACAAACAAAGCTGAAATGATGATTTGTCAGAATATCCACCATCTACCTTCACTCTCACAGATAATAATATAATATAATGTTATTGAAGCTTCGGTTCTGGCAAGGAATTCAAAAATGAAAAGGTATAATTGCTTAGTACTTATAAGCTTTTATATTCTTATAAGAGTTCATATCTTGCCATTTTTTTTGTTTCCACCAAAAAAATAAAAAAATGAAAAAGGTAATTGTGATTTTTTTAATTTCACAATTCTAAGCTTATATATCAAAATTCTTTTTTCTTGCAGTTCTCAAAAATTCTCAGAATTGCAAGAAGAAGAAAAAGGCTGATGTGAGAAAAAAAAGTCACATTCTTTTATCCCATGGCAGAAACAAACTTCCATGTAATATAAAAATAATATAATTATTTATAATTAAAATCCTGTTTATTATTTTATAAATAATATTGATAAAATAATAAATAATCTTAATTTCAGTGATCAGTTCTTAAAAAAAAACATTTATTTCTCAGTATGAAGAACATTTAAAAATCCAAAGAATCTTTTTCCACTTTAAAGACTCTTTAGCAGTTCCACGGATGCCAATGAAAAGCCTTTATTTGTACGAGTGTTTGGCTGCGTTTATCTTTACGGATCATAACACAACACTGTGTTCTCCAGCTGGAAACATTAGTAACGCTCCAGTGCTTCACTCATATCAGAGTAGAGCTGCACGATTCTGGATACACTGAGAATCACGTCTCTAATAGAGATCATGATTGCCCCACGATTCTGAACTAAACAAAATAATGTGTGACAAAATATTATTGCTGCAGTCTATTTAAGAGTGTTTAATTAATTTGAATGAATTATTAAACATTTTAATATATATGTATTTATAATATAATATATTTACAGTTCAATTCATGAAAGAATTCACCATTTTCTCACAACTATAAACACAATCTCAAAACTACACACCAACTTGTGCAAACTTCAGGTGAAATGTGTCTTTGAACTGAAAAAAATTGTGCCTAATAAATCAGTTGTAGTGTCACCAATCGAGAAAAACTGTAATACACCAATTTTTTAATATTAAAAGTATAAAAAAGTGGTTTGAATGAATGATTCAATGACTCAGTCAAAAATACTTCACTTGTTTCATTACTGGATGAATCAGCGTATTTGAACAAATCTCTTGAATGAATGATTCAATGACTCACTCATAAATACTTCACTTGTTTCATTACTGGATGAATCAGCGTATTTGAACAAATCTCTTGAATGAATGATTCAATGACTCACTCATAAATACTTCACTTGTTTCATTACTGGATGAATCAGCGTATTTGAACAAATCTCTTGAATGAATGATTCAATGACTCACTCATAAATACTTCACTTGTTTCATTACTGGATGAATCAGCGTATTTGAACAAATCTCTTGAATGAATGATTCAATGACTCACTCATAAATACTTCACTTGTTTCATTACTGGATGAATCAGCGTATTTGAACAAATCTCTTGAATGAATGATTCAATTGCCAATACATTTTTTAACAGTCACAATGTAATGGACATGAACGTTAGTAAGCGGGATTTGCTCTATTTTGATCGCTACCATAGACACCAGTTTTTATATCTGAACTATAAATTTTCATCCCAGTATTTGTGATAACATGAATGACAAATGTATGTATATATGTATTCCATCTTTATTTGACCCTCTAACTCTAGCACTCTCTACTCTAATTCTATTCTTTAAAAAAAACTAATACTAGCTTTTCTAATCTTTTTGTATTCTATCTATTTGTTTTCTTTTTATTTATTATATAATATAAAAAAAAACCTTGCTACATGTATTGTGTTAAGCTAAGAGAGACTTGTTATAGCACTTGTGTATTATTGCTCTTTTGTTGATTTTGATTGCTTCTTTTGTCCTCATTTGTATGTCGCTTTGGATAAAAGCATCTGCTAAATGACTAAATGTGCCATTTAAACCGCTTTATCTGTTCTGTGAATTATTCTCTACCAACTAAACAAATAAATGGCATATACACTACCGTTTCTTGAAAGAAATGAATACATTTATTCATCAAGGATGCATTAAATTGATCAAAAGTGAGAGTAAAGACATTTATAATGTTACAAAAGATTTCAAATAAATGCTATTCTTTTGAACTTTCTGTTCATCTGTGAATCCTGAAATATAAAATGTATCAGTTTCCACAAAAATATGAACGGTTTTCAACATTGATAATAATCAGAAATGTTTTTTGAGCAGCAAATGATTTCTAAAGATCATGTGACACTGAAGACTGGAGTAATGATGCTGAAAATACAGCTTTGATCACAGAAATAAATTACAGTTTAACACATATTCACATAGAAAACAGCTGTTTTAAATTATAATAATATGTCACAATTTTACTGTTTTTACTGTATTTTTGATCAAATAAATGCAGCTTTGGTGAGCAGAAGAGTCTTCTTTCAAAATCATCAAACTCCACACTTTTAAATTAATGCATTTTGTTTGTTCCTGAAGTCTTCTGAATTCTAATGCATCACTAAAACTATTTTTGTTTTTCATATTTTTCAGTGGGATCAAT